TAGATTAGTCTATCCTAATTCTGAAATATCTTTTGCAAAAAGGTCTACAAATTTTTTGAGTAAGTCTTTAAACTTCTGTTCTTGTTCTTTAGTTAATGGTCCCATGTTAACCATGTCTGTCTTCTCTAATATGTATTTCTCATATGGGATCTGGGTATTTATAGTATATACAAAATTAGGTTTTATAGTGTTTCTTTGCAAAGCCAGTTGCAAAGCTTCTTCTTCTATAGGTAATTCTTCTAAGTCTTCAGATAGTTTTTCATTTTATCTAGAATTACTTAAAAATTTTGTTGAGATAAAAATAATCAGGAGTAATAATCTGCTTATTGTTGGTGGTGCACAATTTGTTCCTTAAAGAAATTGCTAAGTTGTTTATTCATTTCCTCTAAGTAATGAACATGTGCTTCTAAGTGTTCCAGAATTAATCGAGTTTTTTGGTTTGTATATTTATCCTTTCCTTAAATATCTTCTTCTTCTAGTGAAAAAGGTAATTTTGAAAGTAATGAGTATTCTGTTTCTACTTCTTTTCCTTTATCTTTTACTTGGTTGTAGTAGTTTTAAGATTCTAATTCTCTTTCTAGTAAGATTGAAGAAGTAATTGTTTCTTTTTCTATTTCTTGGAAAAGTGTTAATTTATCAATTTCTTGGTAACATTTATTACAAAATTCTTGGTTAGAATTCAATTTCAAGATTTGTTTAGCAAAAAGACATTCATAACAAAAAGCGACTTTTCCTTCAAAGTTTATATGCAAATTTTCTATTGCCTTATGAGAATCAAAGTCAGGTTGCGAGGTATCAAAAGATTCTTGTAAAATCCGTTGCAAAGTAGTTTTTTCATCATCCATTAGATTTACTTGTTCAAGGTCTGATCTAAGGAGAACAGTAATTTTTTCAGAGGTCCAATCACAATTATATTGGTCAGTGTCTTGTTCTTGCAATAACCTCAAAATTTCTGCTTAGAAGGCATTTCTTAATAAAGCTTGAGTAATTCGATAAATTCTGCTTTGGTTTAGATTATATTGGTGTCCTGCATTACAAGTAAATTCTGTATAGTGTCTAATCCTTGTTCAAATCTTATAATTCGGATTATATTGTAAGTCTTGACATATTTTGTAGGCATATATATGTTCCAATTTACAGAACCACAGTTCTTTTCGAATACTTTCCAAATGATGTATTTTGGATCTTGGTTGTTGGCAGTTACAAATCTTATAGTTGGTAAGTGTTCCTAATCTAGTTCGATAATATTCTTGGCTTCAGGGGTCATCAAATTCCAAGCTTTGGTAAAAAGTTTTGTAGCAGCCAGTATATATGAGTTGGTTATCATGAAGATGTAATTTATCAGACTGTTGCGGGTATAGCATTTACAACAATGATGAGTTTTTCTTTTACTAAAATAGACGAGTCTTTTAGCTTCTACCTGGGTTCGATCACATCTACAATGGTAGGTTAGGCTATCCAATTTATATTGAGCTAATAGGCAATTAATTTCTATATGTCTAATTTGTTTGCATCCAAAACATAAGTTTTGAGGGCAATCTTTAAATAAGTGATCAGTCTGATTACAATTTTTACAATTAGCTCTTTTGTTTTGCTTATTACAGCAATATCTAGCAATATGTCATTTCTCATGACAATAATAACATTCATTTTGTGGACAGTTCTTATATTTATGTGTCGCTATATCACAAGTTCTACAAGAATATGGAGTTCTAGAGCAAGATTAATTTTTAAAATAAGGTTGGTAAGTAGTCCATCCTTCTTTCTTTTCAAAAAAAGAAGATACATAGGCCTTATGTGGTGTCAAATATTCTTTATATAATTCATAATTCTCAGGAGTAATACACATAGGCTGTTTCTTTTTCAGTTGGTCCTGTTTATAGGAAGTATTCAAGACAATTTTCTTTCCTTTCCAATACATTGTATATTGGCGTGTTTTTCAACTATAACTAGCTTTGACTTTTCTTGACTAGTCATTTCCTAATAACAGAGAATAAGAGGTGGCAGGTACTACTTTTATGTCGATTGGGATAGTTCTTCCTTGTATTTTCACAAGTAAATTACAAATAATTCCCAAAGGTCTTGATGTAGTTTCAGTAGCAGCAATAATTAAACTTTGTAATGGTTCATCGATTTTAAGACCTAATTCTTTTACAGTTTTGTGGGCAATCATACTTACAGATATACCACTATTGATAATAGCTAGATAAGTTTGATCCTTAATATCTACACGATATTTGACAGGAGTAATATTATTGGTAGATTCTGGTTTAATAATCTCTCGATTTGTTTTTATAATGTAGGCAGTGAGTGCAGTTCAAATAAAGTAATTGTCCAAAAGCCTTTCCCAGTTTTTAGATAAAGTAGAGGTTAAGTTAAATATTTCAGCCATGTTCATATTTTGGTAGTAAGGTAAGGGTGAGCGAGTGGATCTGGGTTCCCATCTTTCTTGACTTCGGTCTCTAGACCTGCTTTTATTTTGAGAGTAGTTTTAAGAATAGTTCCTATCTCTACTTCTGCTTCTATTACAAGATCTACTTCTATTCCTTTGATAATTATTATTGTTGTAGTTGTCATTGTTGTTGTAATGGTTGTTGTTGTAGTTACTATTGTTGTTTCGATGATAGTTGTTGTTCCTGTTGTTATTTCTGTTATTTTTTTTATTTTTTATTTTTTTTAGCGATTATGCTACATGCCTATGCTTGATTGATCATTAATTAAATTTGAAAAAAAAAGAATACATCTAAAGATACGGGTATGTAACTTACCCGGTTACTTATATAGAATATCTAAATATTCATGCACCTGTGTGCAACCTGCCAAAGATGATTTTAATCTCCCCGGTTTGGTTCAATCTATATCAAGCTGATCCGCCCCGGTTCACTGACCTGGTTTATCAGCCTGTCATAACCGCCTTCTTTCTCAACCTTTTTCTCCTAGCCTCCTAAATAGAAGAATTTTACCAAAGAACAATGGGAAATTTACGAAATAAAAGGAATAGTAAAAAGGGAGGAAATCTAAACTAAATGAAAACAAAAAACAAACAAAAAAGAAAAAGAGAGAAAAGGAGAAAAAGGCCGAAAAAAAAGAATGGCCATAATGTCACTATTTTTGCCTGTGCAAGGCTATATAAATTATATAATGTTGTATAAAATAAAATCTAATCTAACACTATATGTAATAAAAGAAGTGGAAAAGAAAATAAAAGAAAATGTCTAACATTAAGAAATTTTTACACGTAATTTCTCCAATCCCCTATACTGTATACAGTACTGCTGTCATTGTTTATTTGGCAAAGCATAATCCAAATAAGCTCGTGGGAGGTTCCATTTCAGTAGACACGTCCTAATTTGAAAGGAGTAAACACTGCTAATCTTTTGGAGGGGGTATACCGGTTTTTCCACTTTTTGGCTAAAATTTCAAAAAAAATTCCAAAATAGCGAAAATATGGTAGCAGGTTTTTGGTTGCAGATACTTTCAAAACTTCTAAAGGGTGTGTTAAAATCCAAAACTTTTGTTGTTTCCCCTGTATTCTTCTTTAAAGTAACGGGCTAGGGCTTCGTCGACAAAATAGCAGCCTACTATGTAACTTATTCCCTTCACCAAGATTTTTTATACAAGGGCACCTGGGTGGCAACTTCCTGCCAGTTATCTTGTATAATAATGCTCCTGGCTTGCATACCGAATGTCCTTTTAGAGGAGTCCCCCAATAGGCAAAGGTTGACCTCTAGACAAACCACATCATAGAGCCACGTCTCTCCAACAAAAGTTTTGTTTTTCGTTAGTTGAAATTTTGGTACAAGTGATCGTCAGGGAGAGTTGTTATTTTTGTTATTGTTACTTTTAAAATTATTATTTTGCCTAACTTCTACTTTTCTGGCATGGCAGTCCTTTTGATAATGACTGTATTTTTCACAATTATGACAAACATCTTTTTCTTTTTGGCTGTTTGCTATTTCAACAGTATAGGCAGTTTGTTGCTATTGTTGTTGGGCAAGGTTGATACTAAGTTTAGCAATTTGGTCAGTAAGTTGAATAATAGCCTTGGTAGTGTCAGTATCAGTAGATACAACCAATCTTCTTGCTTTTCATTGTTTAGCAGTTTCAATAACTTCATCTAGAGTATCTCTATTAGCAGCTTGTACAGATATAGCAAGTTCAGGGCATAATTCTTTGATAAAATGTTGGATAAGAAAAGCTTCTGGTAGTGTAATAATTTTAACTTTTAAATTTTTAAATTTTGCAACATAGACATCTATAATATCAGTTTTCTGTTTTAACTCAAAGAAACTTTGTTGCCAAAGAGCTTTTTGTTTATTATCACTAAACCTGGTTTTGAAGATAGGTTTGAAACTAGTATTTGGAAGACTATCATAGGCTGTTAATGTTGCATTAGTAAATCCTTTAACCCATTCTTCAGCAATTCCTTTCATGTATGCTTTAGCCAAAGCAAGTTGTCAAGTTTCATTTCAATTATTAGCTTTAATAGCACATTTGAATTCATCAAGCCAGTTAACAGGATCTTGAGTTCTATCGCCTTTAAAAGATTCGACTTTAATAAGATTCTTTTCACTATTACTTTTTAGTTCAAGTGCTTGAGCAAGCTGAGCCAAAGCTTATATAGCAGTATTTAGATTTGTAGCCATATCTTCTTCTTCACTACTTGATTCTAATTCAGATGATTTTTCTTTAGATGATTCTATTTTAGATAATTTCTTTTCAGATAACTCTACTATAGATGATCCCTCTTCAAATGATTTGGTTGTTTCTGATTCGCTATCACCTGCAAACTCGTTATTAGTAAATAAAGTTGTATAATCAACGGTATGAACTTGAGTATAGTCAGAGCCTATAGGTGAAGTAGGTCGACTTTGATTGTAATCTCAAGGTTGTTGGTTAGGAAAACCTCCAGAAAGTTGTAATACAGTATTTTCAAGAAGTGGAACTTGTCAAAATTGTGGGCCTGTTGTAGAGTTCCAATGGTCAATCTCAGTATTATCTTAGGGTTGGTCTGCCTCCCAATAATTAACAATAGAAGTATTGTCTATAGTTAGATATATAGGAATATATTCAACTTGGTTGTTGCTATTATTAAATAAATTTTCTTCCTCCACATTGATAATAGTTTTGGGGGTAGAAGGGCGAATTTGTTCTTGTTTCTCGATTAGATAAGAAGAAGGAGCTTCAGATAGTACTAATTCATCAATACTATTAGTGTCTGATTCTTGGTTAATTAAATCAGTAGGAGAAATTATAGAACTAAGTGTAGGAGTATGAAAATTAGCTTCTAAAAGATCAGTACTGTTTGAAGAAAAAGAGGACTCGGTAGTTAGTGTAAGAAAATAAACATTAGTTATATCTTCAGGAACTTTAGCGGATTGATAAAATTGTTGTTTAGTATCAGATTCAAAGATTGTAGTAGTATTAGATAATAATGTAGTAACTTGAATAGAGCAGTTAATATGTTCTAATTGTTGAGAAGTTGATCCTAAATCCTCAGAATATTGAATATGCTGAATAGGTAAAGAGAAATTATTAGGGCAATTAATATATATATCATAGTAATTTTGATCTGCTTCTTCAATTTGTAGAAAGTTAGTATAAAAGTAAAACAATGAAATAAAATAGAAATTGCAGGATAAGAAGCTGGTATATTATCACTATATCTGCAACTAAAAATAATATCATAAGTAGCAGAGCGAGCAAGTTTCCGGTTAACAGTATATAAATTTTTAAAACTTTGCTCAATAACTAAACTATAAAATGTAGCATTATAGGTTCTAGAATACCAATTCCAAAAGTTATCAAAATTTGAAATAGTAGCTATATGTTGAGGAGGATAGCACAATTTATACGATAAATCAGAAGAATAAGTTTGCAATACTTCAATAGCAGTGGCTGTTGGGTTAATATGTTTAAGTTAGTATAAGTCGATATTGTTTTGATGAAACTTTGTAAAAGTATCTGTCATAAAAATTAAACAAATTTATTTTCTAGAGATAATATTAGTAGTAAAGATAAAATAAAATAAAATAATGATTTGGCTAATAAATATAATTAATAAAATAATATATGCGCAAAGAAAGAATAAAATAATAACCAAACAAGATAAATAATATCAAAACAGTTTAAACAATTCAATACAATAAATACAATTATAGCTATTTAATACAATAAGCCGGCAGACTTGCAAGAGATCAAAGCATAAACTTTTCAAGTATAAAATAAAATAATAATAATAATAGTAATAATAATAAATCAATTAAAGAAGATTATAGTCAACTCTTTCTTATCTGAACAGCCCGTTCTTGAGTTTTTAGTTCAGTTCTCAAAGAGGTATTATAAGCTTATCCGAACTTTATAATAAAATTTATAAATGTCTTAGAGTTTTCGGTTTGGTTAAGAGAGAGTTTGGTTTAGAAAGGTTTGGTTAAGAGAGAGTTGACTATATACCAAACAAATTGCTTTCTTTTAAGAGCTAATCCTGCAATAAATTAGTTAGTAATATATAATTCAAGATGAAGGGTTCTAGTAGTCTTAGTAGAATTTGCTATAATTCTACGATTTTCTGCTAGAATTTCTTTTTAATTATTTCTCTAAGAGCAGTTGGGACTTAGATTTACTTCTTTTCTAAAGACAGTTTAGTGTTTTCAGGGTGGTTTTTAAATATTTTCGCCAGAAAGCACCAAAATATTACAATACTATAGCCTTCTAAGTACCAATATAGCACAGTAACAAGGTCACTTGGTGTAGTGATATACTTGATGAATATACATGAGGTGGAAGTAAAGGGTTGAATTACTTCACTAGCAAGAGGCAGACGATTTGAGATAGTAACAGTATATAACTTTATTAAAATAAGAGATAGTAATAAGCCTTGCCTGTAGGAATTACTCTAGAGGGGGAATATTACACTTTACAAGAGGGAATAAAAGAAGTATCTAATGCTATGAGAGGGGTATAAACTCTAAACTGAGCAGAAGGAGTAAATGCACCTTTTATCTATCTTTTACATGCCAAGCCAAGGTAGTAGAGGGAGTTGAGGGCTGTGTTGAGGGAGTTGAAGGCTATGTTGAGGGAGTTAAAAAACTTGAGGAACTTGAGGGCCGTGTTGAGGGAATTGAAGGCTGTGCTGAGGGAGTTGAGAAACTTGAAGGACTTGAGGGCTGTGTTGAGGGAATTGAAGACTGTGTATTATCTTCGATACTACCTTGTCTATCTTATATCAGCAAATTTAATAGGGTGTAATAAATTACAAACCATAAAAAAGACGTAATATAACGTAAGATATTTTGAAACCTTGCAAAATATTAACTTACAAAATATTATGTAAGATATTATGAAATATTATATAAAATATTTCACAATATAGCAAAATAGAAAGTGAAAATTTACGTCAAATTTACGGGTAGTAAATTAAATCACATTAATTCGAACATGCTTAAAGATGAGAACAATAAGTAAAACTACTAAGTGTATATTATATTAATATTTTAGAAATTTAAGTTAGAAAATCACTAAATAGATTA